TCTGTGGTGGCATCTCCTTCCATTTCTGTGGTGGCATCTCCTTCCGTCCCTGTGGTGGCGTGTCCTTCCATCCCAGTGTTGGCGCCTCCTTCCATTTCTGTGGTGGCATCTCCTTCCATTTCTGTGGTGGCATCTCCTTCCGTTTCTGTGGTGGCATCTCCTTCCGTCCCTGTGATGGCGTGTCCTTCCACCCCTGTGGTGTCATCTCCATCCATCCCTGTGGTGGCATCTCCTTCCATCCCTGTGGTGGCATCTCTTTCCATTTTTGTGGTGACATCTCCTTCCTTCCCCCTGGTGGCATCTCCTGTTGCTATTAGGGTCTCACAGAAAAGCAATGTCACAGAGAATAAGCACGCTTATTGAAATTGCGTTTTAAATAAAGGTGACCATCTGCTCGCTCAGGCAAAATGGCGAGCTTTCTTATTTACAGTTGGTTTTTATAGGGAATTTTGTACATGCTCACAATACAGCAATGCCCTCATTGATCCACTTAAACATTACATTGATCCAATTAAACATCATATGACTACCTTGCAATTAGCTCCCTTCTAGTAATCTGATTATCCACCCAACACACACCTTTTGACATAACCCTATCAGCATAACCCCATTTAACATAACTTAATGGAGAACATGCTGTTAGCCATTGCTTTCTTTGTTCTTATCTGATGAAGCCTGAGGCTATGGAGGAAAGAGACAGTTTGTAAATCTGTCCTTCTGACCACACCATTTGGAGGCAGTTACTTTGGATCTTTAAAACAAGGCATATAGAAATGTCTTGGGCATGCAGAAATTTGTATGTAAACCTCCACTCCCATGTGGGCCTTAAGTCAGGGAGATTTTGCTGGAATATTTTATAAGCAATTTTCAGGCTGGACTTCTCGAAAGCCTTTCACGATCCCAGGTTTCATCTGTGCCATTAGATGCCTGTATGCACTGGGTAAGTTCCTCTTTTCTTGAGGTCCCAGAGCACATTTCCATTCCCGGACCCATCACCAAGCAACCTTCGTTACTTACCACAGATCAGGAAAGGTTATTGATGGGTATCTGGCCAGTTTTACAAAGGGTTTTTTATTGCCCTTATGAAGTCAACCTTAATTCATTAACATAGTCTGGACATGTCTGGAAATGCTATTCCAGCAAAAGCCTTTGTCATATTAGACCTGTGACTAACTCAGCCATATGGGATTCTGCCTCCATTTCTCACAAGTGTGCCTACACAAAGTCTTTTCACTGCTCTCTCTCAAATGGCTTTTTTGGCCAGAGGCGTATCGGCATTTCACCTATAATCTACTTCCATCCCTGTGGTGGCAAATCCTTCCATCCCTGTGGTGTCATGTCCTTCCCTCCCTGTAGTGGCATCTCCTTTCATCCCTGTGGTGGCATGTCCTTCCATCCCTGTGGTGTCATGTCCTTCCCTCCCTGTGGTGGCATCTCCTTCCATCCCTGTGGTGTCATGTCCATCCACCCCTGTGGTGGCATCTCCTTCCATCCCTGTGGTGGCATCTCCTTCCATCCATGTGGTGGCATCTCCTTCCATCCATGTGGTGGCATCTCTTTTCATCCCTGTGGTGTCATGTCCTCCCCTCCCTGTGGTGGCATCTCCTTCCATCCCTGTGGTCGATCTCCTTCCATCCCTATGGTGGCATCTCCTTCCATCCCTGTGGTGGCGTCTCCTTCCATCCCTGTGGTGGCATCCCGTCCATCTATGTGGTAGTGTCTCCTTCCATCCCTG